TGAAGATCTTTTTTGTATAGTTCTTCTGTGTATTCTTGCCACCTCTTCTTAGTATCTTCTGCTTCTGTTAGGTCCATACCATTTCTGTCCTTTTTTGAGCCCGTCTTTTCATGAAATATTCCCTTGGTATCTCTGATTTTCTTGAAGAGATCTCTAGACTTTCCCATTCTATTGTTTTCCTCTCTTTCTTTGTATGGATCACTGAGGAAGGCTTTCTTATTTCTCCTTGCTATTTTTTGGAACTCTGCATTCAAATGGGTATATCTTTCCTTTTCTCCTTTGCTTTTCGTGTCTCCTCTTTTCACAGCTATTTGTAAGGCCTCCTCAGACAACCCTTTTGCCTTTTTGCATTTCTTTTCCTTGCGGATGATCTTGATCACTGCTTCCTGTACAATGTCACGAACCTCCGTCCATAGTTCTTCAGGCTCTGCCTGTCAGATCTAATCCCTTGAATCTATTTGTCACTTCCACTGTACAGTCATAAGGGATTTGATTTAGGCCATACCTGAATGGTCTAGTAGTTTTACCTACTTTCTTCAATTTCAGTCTGAATTTGGCAATAAGGAGTTCATGATCTGAGCCACAGTCAGCTCCCGGTCTTGTTTTTGCGGACCATATAGAACTTCTTTATCTATGGCTTCAAAGAATATAATCAGTCTGATTTTGGTGTTGACCATCTGGTGATGTCTATGTGTAGGGTTTTCTCTTATGTTGTTGGGAGAGGGTGTTTGCTATGACCAATGCATTCTCTTGCCAAAACTCTATTAGCCTTTGCCCTGTTTCATTCTGTACTGCAAGACACGTGTTACTCCAGGTGTTTCTTGACTTCCTAATTTTGCATTCCAGTCCCCTATAATGAAGAGGACATTTTTTTTTTGGGTGTTAGTTCTAGAATGTCTTGTAGGTCTTCATAGAACCATTCAACTTCAGCTTCTTCAGCATTACTGGTCGGGGCATAGACTTCAATTACTGTGACATTGAATGGTTTGCCTTGGAAACGAACAGAGATCATTCTCTCCTTTTTGAGATTGCATCCAAGTAGTGCATTTCAGACTCTTGTTGACTGTGTGGCTACTGCATTTCTTTTAAGGGATTCTTGGCCACAGTGGTAGATATAATTGTCATCATATAATGGTCATCTAACTATAGGCCTGCCTTTAAGCCTGTCTTGTCTTCGGACATTCCTTTCTCTCTGAGCTTAATCATTGCTAGCTTTTGATTTAATTTGAGAAATGTGAGACTCTTTGTTTCACTAGAACACTTAGGGGCCATTGTGGGGTTATTAACTGGCCTACTTTGAATATTGTGTCTCAGGGAGTAGGATGCCCAAAAGGGGAGAAAGGCAGTGAAGGGCAAGTCGGTGGAGCGATCAGAATGTACAGAACATTTGTTAGTTAAGTCTGCTGTCTTGTATGGGCATGGTTTGTGGTGCACCCAAGCAGTTACAATGGTAACATCAGTGATCACCATAACAATGTAATAATGATGGAAAATTGTGAAATATCATGAGTATCATCAAAATGTGACAGAAAGTTAGCAAATGTTGTTGGATTAATGACATTGATAAGCCCACTTAAGGCAAAGTTGCCAGAGACCTTCAATTTGTAATTTTAAAAAAAAGTATTAAAGCACAGTACAGTGAAATTGGTGCGTTTGCCACATTTGATAGGAAGCCATATACAAAGAAGAGGATTAGGATTTCAGCTAGAAACCCACTGACCTGGATAAGGCTTTTAGTAAGTCCAGCTTCCTCATTGCCCACTTTTTAAATTCAGCGAGCAGCCTTAGCATACTTGTAAAAACTCCACTCAAGCATATGTTCATGCAGAACACCACCAGAGAATTCCACACACCACTGTGCTTGTGCTGAACGTCCCTGTGAGCCTTCCACTTGCTAGTCAGGCTTGGGGTAGGTGTCTACTTTGCTGAGGCTTCAGCAGCACACTGGTCCTGCATGGGCTGCAGCTGCCTGTTCTGCCTGCTACTTTGGTACTTTTTTTCTAGAAACATTTTTTTCCTAGTATTTGTTTTTCCTTATGGAATTTTCAGTTGTGTCTGTTGTTCTGTTCTTGCTTCTTTTGTTTGACTTATCATTTATGCCTGTTCTGAACAACAGTCCTGTTTATTGTTCTCAACATCTTAGGGGGGAACACCAACTGGAAGCCTCCGGCCCACTGTAAGGTCTACAACTACCTGAGCAGGATTGGCTGCTTCTTCCTGCATCCTCGCTGCAGTAAGAGGAAGGATGCTGCTGATTTTGCCATATGTATGCATGTGAGTCACTGCTTTATTCAGAATCTAATGTGAATCTAGGACCCATTTGGATTAATTCTCCCACTTAAATTATAATGACACTGTAGATTCCTTTTCAGTGCTGTGTCTTTTGTATAAAACCTTTTGCGTCAAGTTCTACTTAAGACCGTTGGGAGCAGGAACCCATAGCACATGGTGACTGCTTCATTCCCAGTTCTAGCCAGCCCTCAGCTGTCCCATAGTAGAACCTTAACTGTTTCTAGAATAAGTGATCAGGAGGTGTCACTCCCTGACACATGAAGTGCTTCCACATTTAACATCTCTGAAATGAGCAGGCCCCGTGACAGTCACTGTTGGCCCAGGTGGAATATGCATTTGCTTCTGTCTCAACTAGTCGCCTGGAGAAACGACCCACCTGAGACCCAGTTTAAATTAAATTTTCTGCTTAAGCGTTTCTGTGTCACCCTGATAACATGAATTTACTCTGTAGACTTGTTGATTACTGCTTATGTTTTAAACCACAAGATGATCTCTTTTTCCATCGAGCTAGTTTTAAGGTGGAGCGTGCTTGCCTTACTGTTACTTTGCTTACTTTAGCCCTGTTACTGTTCCACCTTTATATGGAGTCCTTCTCCTTTTTCTTTCTCTCTTAGTGGCTCATTAAACAGTTTATCTTAAAATTGACAGCACTTTACATTTTTTAAATATGGTATTAATATATTTTATTTGTGAATGAGATCTTTATATCATACTTTAGTGGGAGCAAGGGGATATACTGAATACACCTTTCTAGGTAGGCGTTCATTCTGAAATAGCTGTAACGTGATTGGAAGCACAGATGCTGATTTGATGTGTGCCATTTGTTCCAACTTAGGCTGGCCGTCTAGATGAACAGCTGCCCAAGCAGATTCCTTTCACCATCCTCTCAGGAGATCAAGGTTTTCTGGAGCTAGAGAATCAGTTTAAGAAGACTCAGAGGCCAGCACATATACTCAACCCTCACCACTTAGAGGGAGATATGATGTGTGCCTTGTTAAATAGCATATCTGACACCACCAAAGGTATGCAGCTGCAGCCTCGGGGCAAACCGCCCAAAAGGAGGAGACTTCACTGCTGAGAGACGCCAATAAACTGCTGTCCACTATCGCCCTGCCGCCTGCTTACTAAACCGCCACGCGCGCATGCTTCTGTTGTGCTTCATTCCTTATCTGCTTTCATTTTGAGTGTATTAGAAGGAGAATGAATTCGTGATTTTCTGGAGCCCTTTTTCGTCTAAAGGATAAAATTTATATTCATATACTTAATGATTTGAAATATGCTATTAGAGTTTTGCAAAGCTCAGAATCTGGATCTTCATTTTGTTTTGGAAATTCTAAATTGATCTTCAGTTTTTCGGAAATCAAAGTGCTTATAGGAGAAACCGGAAAGCAGTAAATATGGCAATACCAAAAAAGAAAGAGCATTTAGGAGGTTGACAGTGACAGGATGCAGCCCTGGGCGATCTTTATTACTTTGAAGGGCCAGGAGCCCCTGTCTTGCATTCTCTCTGCCTTTCTGAGATCGTTCAGTGAATGCATGCTGGTGGCCAGTTTAACTAACCGATATTTAGGAAAGGGTGTAATTCTAGGGACCCAGATGGTCGTGTTTTTTTTAATTTCTGAAGTAAATGTGGTAGGAGAGACTAAAAGAACAGTTTTTAATGTCCTGATAAGTTGCAGCCATGGAAGGAGTCTGAAGGTACTGGTGACTGACGTCAGTGAGGAGCTGACTGCTTCTCGGGATGCTTGTTATGCGCCTTTACAGTTCCCGAGCATGCCCTCCTCCTCGCCAGTTTCTTCATTCCATAGATGTAGAGCCGCATTTTGATTGAAGATCTATTCTGAAGAACTTTGCTCTGATCACTCATTGCAATGGATCAGTTCAAAGTTAGGAACCATTAAGCTGCTGGCACACTCGTGCTCTTGAAAGGAAAGTCAACTCTATTTTGCTTATTTATGTCATATTTTAGCACTGATTTATCTTCCTATTCTGTAGTTTTTGTTTTCATTCACTTGCTTTTTCTGTTTGTGGCTTTTTTTCCTTTTCTTTTTTTTTAAAAAAAATTTTAATTAATATTTCTATTGGAGTATAGTTGATTTGCAGTGTTCTGTTAGTTTTGGGTGTACAGCCAAGTGAGTTAGTTATACATACACCTGTAAACCCTCTTTTTTAGATTCTTTTCCCATATAGGACATTGCTGAGAACTGAGTCGAATTCTCTGTGTCCGTGGCTTTTTTAACTGCTTTTTCTTCCATTCTTTATACCATCCCTTCCCTGATCCTTAAAAACATCTACGTAATATCTCATAAAATATTTAATTTTTACCTTTGCCACCTAAGCCAACCCCCTTGTCTTCGTCCTACTGCTCTTGGGAGCATTGCTTTGGTATTGAGACCTGTTATGATTTTGCCTTTCTTTCAACTTTATTTGGAGTGAAAGCTGCATATAAATAGGTCTGCATGGGTATGTTAGGGTTAGAGGTAAGGTGTAGGTTATTGTTATATACCGAAGTTCTTTTATGAATATTTCTTATACTCTATATATTTTAAAAATCATTTACTCATAGTCAGTGCTCATTTGAACTTACTGCTCTTTGGGGGCACATGTGTACTTTATTTTGAATTTTTGTGATAAACAGAGGCAATGCAGTGTATAAAGAAGGGCATGGGCTTTTGTTCAAATGCTAACGTTGCTGCTTCTGATTTCAGGCAAGTTATTCAACTTTTTGTGAGTCTCACTTTCATATCTCTAAGTTTGTAAGAATTAGTGATACGTATAGTGTCTAGAGTAGGACAGTGCATAGTGAAGTGAAGTGAAAGTCGCTCAGTTGTGTCTGACTCTCTGCGACCCCATGGACTATACAGTCCATGGAATTCTCCAGGCCAGAATACTGGAGTGGGTAGCCTTTCCCTTCTCTAGGGCATCTTCCCAACCCAGGGATTGAACCCAGGTCTCCTGCATTGCAGGCGGATTCTTTACTAACTGAGCTATCAGGGAAGCCCAGAAAGCACATAGGTGCTCAGTAAATAGCAGGTATTATTAATTATTGACTCTGCCAAAGCCTTTGACTATGTGGATCACAATAAACTGGAAAATTCTGAAAGAGATGGGAATACCAGACCACCTTACCTGCCTCTTGAGAAATCTGTATGCAGGTCAGGAAGCAACAGTTAGAACTGGACATGGAACAACAGACTGGTTCCAAATAGGAAAAGGAGTACGTCAAGGCTGTATATTGTCACCCTGCTTATTTAACTTATATGCAGAGTACATCATGAGAAACACTGGGCTGGAGGAAGCACAAGCTGGAATCAAGATTGCCAGGAGAAATATCAATAACCTCAGATATGCAGATGACACCACCCTTATGGCAGAACGTGAAGAAGAACTAAAGAGCCTCTTGATGAAATTGAAAGAGGAGAGTGAAAAAGTTGGCTTAAAGCTCAACATTCCAGAAAACTAAGATCATGGCATCTGGTCCCATCACTTCATGGCAAATAGATGGGGAAACAGTAGAAACAGTGGCTGACTTTATTTTTCTGGGCTCCAAAATCACTGCAGATGGTGATTGCAGTCATGAAATTAAAAGACGCTTACTCCTTGGAAGGAAAGTTATGACCAGTCTAGACAATATATTAAAAAGCAGAAATATTACTTTGCCAACAGAGGTCCTTCTAGTCAAGGCTATGGTTTTACCAGTGGTCTTGTATAGATATGAGAGTTGGACTATAAAGAAAGCTGAGCACAGAAAAATTGATTCTTTTTGCACTGTGGTGTTGGAGAAGACTCTTGAGAGTCCCTTGGACTGCACGGAGACCCAACCAGTCCATCCTAAAGGAGATCAGTCCTGAATACTCATTGGAAGGACTGATGCTGAAGCTGAAATTCCAATACTTGGGCCACCTGATGTGAAGAACTGACTCATTGGGAAAGACCCTGATGCTGGGAAACATTGAGGGCAGGAGGAGAAGGGGACGACAGAAGATGAGATGGTTGGATGGCATCACTGACTCAGTGGACATGGGTTTGGGTGGACTCCAGGAGTTGCTGATGGGCAGGGAGGCCTGTCGTGCTGCAGTCCATGGGGTCGCAAAGAGTCGGACATGACTGAGCGACTGAACTGACTGACATAAAAAGGAAACATGATTCCCAGCCACTATATGTATATTTTTAGATTTTCTTTCCACTGTTTTCTTTTTTAAATTGTACTAAAATATACACAAGATTGGGCTTCCCTGATAACTCAGATGGTAAAGAGCCCAGCTGCAATGTAGGAGACCCAGGTTCGATCCCTGGGTTGGGAATATACCTTGGAGAAGGGAATGGTTACTCACTCCAGTATTCTTGCCTGGAGGAATTCCAGAGGAGCCTGTGGGGACTACAGTCTGTAGGGTTTCAGGGTTGGACACGACTGAGCAACTTAATACTTTCACATGTAAGATTTACCACGTTAACCATTCTGAAATGTCAGTCACATCTGACTCTTTGTGACCGCATGGACTGTAGCCTGCCAGGCTGCTGTGTTCATGGGTTTTCCAGGCAAAAATATTAGAATGAGTTTCCATTTCCTTCTCCAACCCAGGGATCAAACCCAGATCTCCTACATTGCAGGCAGATTCTTCACCACTGAGCCACCTAGGAAACCTGTTGTGTGGTGTTAACTGCATTCACATTGTTGTGTGGCCATCACCACCATCCATCCCCAGAACTCCTTTCATCTTGAAAACTGAAACCCCATGCCCGTTAAACAATAACTCCCCACTGTCCTTCCCCCAGCCCCTGGGGAGCCAGCATTCTGTCTCCTATCTATGCATTTGACTATCCTGAGTGTGTCCTGTAAGTGAAATCATGCTGCCTTTCTATTTTTGTGACTGGCTTATTATTTCACTGAGAAAAACATTTCCTCAGGTTTTGCCCATGTTATAGCCTGTGTCGAAGGGTCCTCTTTAAGGCTGAGGAGTACTCCTTTGTATGTCTGTACCCCTTTTGCTATCCATTTACCCGCTGGTAGATGCTTGGTGTGTGTCCACACTTCAGCTGTTGTGAACCATGTTGCTGTAAACATGGGGGTGGACATTTCTCCCAGACCCTGCTTTCAGTTTCTGTGAGTACCTGCCCAGACGTGTGGTTGCTGGGCCACATGGCGGTTCTGTTTCTAATTTTTTGAGAAACCTCCATACTATTTTCCACATGGACTATAATTTTTTACATTCCCACCAATAGGTCATGAAGACTTCAGTTTCTCTACATCCTTGCCAACAATTGTTATTTTCTGATTTTTGTTTTGGATAATAACCATCCTAATGGGTACATAGTGGTGTCTCATTTTGGTCATTTCCATTTTCCAAATGAGCATCTTTTCATGTGCTAAAGCCAATGCATTTTAAAATTAATGAAAGTTATTAAAATTAAGTGGCCAAAGAAGTATAGCCTTTAAGTCACATATTTCATTTAGGTCTGAATTTAAAGATGCTTTTGTAACTCTGAAATTTTAAACATTGTTATACTAAATCATAGTATGTTCAGATTCAGTTTGATTTAAGACAGTTATCTTTTTTTTTCCTTCATGGAAGACTGTGAAAGGCCTGGTAATAAACTTTATAACTAATTGTAAAATCAAAGACCAGTGATTTTTGTGGGTAACATTATTCCTTCACCTTTCCTAACAAATGGCCTTAAGAATAATAATAGTTTTTGTTAAGAAATGGTATTTAATATACATTAGAACTGAGAAGCATCTCTCAGTGCACAAACATCGGCGTGCATCCTGCACACGCTCATAGGTACAGAATGTTACTGTGGGTACTGTTTGGGATCAATCGGTTACTCTCTGTAGCAAGATTAGCCTTTAAATTAAGATTGAGATTTGAATGTGTCATGGTTTTTGCCCTGTAAACTCAGTCTCCTATGCATCAGGGTTCCAGCACCAGCATTTTGATTACAGTATGTGTGTATCCCTGTGGAGACATGTAAAAATATTAACCTGTCCTGAATTGACACCATAGCCCCCTTGTCCTTCTATTAGTTCTATTTTATATTGTACTGATTTTCACTTTTTAAAAGTTTACCAAGATACATGGATGCTTTCTAGTGATCCTGGTCAGAGGAGCCTGGTAGGCTTTTTCTTTTTTTAAAAACTTTCACATTTTATTCACAAATATGTGTTCACTCTAACTCAAGCCCCATATTTCAACGATGCAGTCATCACTTGTCACTTCAGTGTTGTTTTAAAGAAGAAAAAGGGAAACTCATCTTTTTACTGAGGACCTGCTGTGTGCCAACTGCCATGCTAGATGTTTGTTGTATTTGTAGTGTTGAAGATGTTTATAACATTCAAAGAACTTCTTCCGCGTGTTATTTAATCCTTCTTGCATCACTGTGAGGTGGGATGTGTTAGGTTGCCCCCTTTCGTACATGGCGGAACAGAGGCCCATGTTGAAATAGCTGGCTGGGGCCAGAGCCATCCTCTGCGAAGACTGAGGTTCTCATTGATGCGAAGCCCCGATTTTATGTTGTGGAGAATCCAGTGTGCATTGTTGGCTGTTACCACGTCCTTGAAGAATGAAGATGAGAGACGCTCTGCTGCAGTCTAATGACTTTGCAGAGTATGTGTAGATACCAACTATGAACGCTTCAGAAATTAACAGGAAGATGCTTTTTCTCTTTGTAGAAGATAAAAAGATTTGATTATGCATTCTGGTCCTTTAAAAAGTAAGCTGGTTGTGTGTCAAACATAGCTGACTTGTCATCGTAAGTTCCCTAGGATCTTTTGTAAGTGAACTAGGAGGCCCTGTTTTCTTCTCTGGACTGTACAACTGCAGTCACAGTGCGTGAGGCAGGCTGCGTCAGAGGAGCCAGGTCGGCGGCCTTTTTATCTGCGCTGTGTGATGGTGCTCCTGGTTGTCACGTGCTCTAAGATAGAATAACTGCTACTTGGTTTTATTTAAGCTCTTAAGGATCTGTTTGTGTAAAGAACTTGACATTATCTTATAGGTTAGTTCAAGAATATTGATTTCCTTTATGTCAGATTTTCTCTTTAAAAACAGTTTTGTGTATTTAGGTGTTTATAGTTCTTCAGTAATGAAACATCTTCCTTTGAATTTTATATAAAGTTTGAACTTTACTAGAATATTTTTTCCTCAGTAATACAAGGGTGAACTAGAGCATAGGCTGTTATGAATTACTGAATTCAAATTGAAAACAGACTTTAGTAAAGTCTGTTTACTGTTTAAAGACTTCACTTTAGTAAAGTCTGTTTACAACATAGTACGTTTCAAAAAGATTTTTGTTAAATCTGAACACTGTCCGTGGCCATCTGGTTTATGACCCTGGGACTTTGTTGTATTTTTTTGGTTTGTGTCTTCATTTTGAAATGAATGGGATGGAGGTTAGTACCAATTACACAGGTTTCTAAAGCCATCTTGAAAACTGAGCACATGAGTTTACCCCTGCTGTGAAAGTGTAGGTGACTGAAGCAGTGGCGTTCCCTGTTGACTAGGCATTATGTGAAATAGCTGTTAAACCTAATTCTGAGCTTCTGTCTGCCTCTTTCCATATGATACAATTAATTCTATGCAGGGTACTGAAGACAGAAAAAATTATTCATGATTTTCTGTGTTCTGTGGGTGCTGCTGATTGAGGCAAAAGAAACCTTAAAAAATGTTTAAAGCCTAGTGTCAGACTCGTAGCCCTCAGGCCTACATAGGTCTTCACTGCAGTGGTGGATTATTTAGACCAGTTGCAACACGCTGCTTTTGACTGGCCTTGACTTTGAATTATAATAATGGAAAGCTTGGGCATTTTCTTTGTTCCTAATGTTTGAAGAATTAATTTTTCTGTTCTTCAAATTGTAAATATAATGTTTTATTTCACTAAAACATAGCTTAAAATATTTGAAGTAGTAAGTGTATATAAGATATTGTAGAAAAAGACATTGTTTTTGCTGGAATAGCAAAAGATGACAATAAATTTTTGCACTAAAGGAATATAAGAGTTATACAGTGGTTTCTATTTGTAGACTATGGCAAATTGATTAATTTTTAAATGTATATTTTAGTATGTTACATATTTTCATATATGTGTCCATATGATTTGTTTCCAGTTATTTAAACGCTGATTCAGTCACTCTGATAGAAATTGATACAAATGTGGTGAAAGTGAGAGCCAGGTCCCTGGTGGGGCCATGTTCATGTTTCAGTGGCTTTTGTCAACCGTTTCAAAGCCTTAGGGTTCTCACTAGTAAGCATAGAAGACATCAACTGAGTTTGTGGCATGCAGAGGCAGTATTAATAATAAACCTGCGTCTCTATAGAGATGAATGCTTATGATTTTCAAACTACAGGAGAATTTTTTCTGTCACCACTAAAAAATCTTTTAAAGATGATTTAATGCCAATGAAACTTTGGAGTTTATTTGCTGGATCCAAATATATTAGCTTTTTCAAATTTACAGTTTTAAAAAAAAATACTGAAACTTATTTCCTAAACATACAAAAATCTTTTTCAAATAATTTTTTGAATATAGAGCTAAAAGTGAATTACCTATTTCATTTTTGTTTTTTCTTTATTTAAGTAGTAGTATTTGATAATTTTTTAAAAAATACTAGGGAAAGTTGTGTAATACTAATGGATTGTAATTAGTAAGCTTGGGTATGGGAGGAGACATTGAAAGTCATACCATTTTAGAGTACATAAATTAATAGCACAGTAACTTTTTCAGAAGTACATTTGCGTTTATTGATTCTTCCTTACAGAATGTGACAGTGATGATAACCTGGGTATAAAAAGTGCTTCAGTGGGAGAAGAATTCAGATCCGCAGAAGGTAACCTAATGGAGTTAACCCTTCACCTAATTGATTCTGTGTTTTTTAATTTCTTCCTCTCTTATTTCGCCCCCTCTTCCCTCCTCCCGCTGTGTTTTGTTTTGTTTTTTAAAGCTGTTCTTTCATTTAAAGGATAATTTGCATTTCCTTGTATAAGATACTAGAATAAATAAGGTTTTATCGGAGCCTGTCCACACTCATGTGTAAGTATGGTCTGTGCTGTTGCTTTCTCGCCACAAGAACATTAGTTGTGACACAAATGGTATAGATCCTGCCCCATCCTGCAACCAAACCTAAAATAATTATTTTTTGACCCTTTGCAGAAAAAGGTTGCTGTCCTGGGCTAGGAAAGGATTTTGGTTTCCTAATTTTTATTTAAATAGTATTAAGTTAAGAATATTAAAAAGTTATGCAGTGGAACTACGAAAGCAAGCACTTATATCAGAATATTAAAGGATTTTTTCTGCAAATTAGTTATGTTTCCCTTAATAGGTTTAAGAGAACTTTGTATATTACTTCACATCAAATCATTTACCAACTGCCACTGTTTGGCTGTGATGTAAGTCCAGCTTTTACTGTGGTTTTTCCATAACAGACTGTGCTTTTTAATAACCCTGGGCGGGAAATGAAACAACAGGATTTGGGGAAATAAGCTTACTGAAAGTTGAAACTCTCATATTGGCATCTTTGACATTCAAGATTAATAGTAGGATTCTTTTTGTTTGTTTGTTTTTACTTTTTTGGCCACGCCACACAGCATGTGGGGTCTTAGTTCCTCAACCAGGGATTGAACCCATGCCCTCTGCAGTGGAAGCATACACTGGACCACCAGGGAATTGCCACAGTAGGAGTCTTAATATACGTTCCAATGTGGTGTTTGTTGGTGGAGATTTGAGAGTGGAAGTGTATAACTAGGGAAGGAAGCGTGGCAAAACAAGCACACAGAATGGCCCGCTGTTGAGCTTCTGTTCATTGGCGCTGCTGTAGAATACAGTGAATCTGACCAGGAGCACACTTCTTGCTGTCTGGGGTAGGGAGTTTGAGTCTGGCAGTGGAATTGATTCTATTCAGTGAAGATTCTGTTCAGAGAAGACTGATCTTTCTTAAAGTCAGAATTCATTGGTTAAACAAAATTGGCAGTAGGTCAACGACCTAATTGGAAGCAAGTTTTCTGACCAGTTTGTTTTCCCAACATGGTCTTGCAAGGTCTGGCTTGGTGCTAAGCAGCCACATAATGACAGGTTAAACAGATGAAAGAATGCTTGTGAGTTTTAAACAGAAACTGCCAGCTAAGTGGTTTATGAAGTCCACGAAAAGATAAATACATTGAGCACCTAAGTACTTCAGACTTTGCAATCTTCACTTACTACCCATGACTAATCCCATGGAAAATGCCAAGCAAAATTATAACTTTTAAATAACCACACTTGAAAAACCTCCATAGTCCTGTGGGCTCCTAGCTAACCCAGGAAATCTGAGATCTGTATCACTGAATATGTATCAGAATTTCTAGCATTTTGTATCTATGTTGTACATTTTATGGCTGGGAGATTTTGAGAGTTTTTACATTTTTAACACTTCTTAGTTTGGAAAAAGTGGATTCAAGAAAAGATACTTTAAACTTTTAATTGTCCTATGAAGTAGAGATATAATGCTCTAATTTCAAGAAAAATCAAAGTGGTGTCACCTGTGTTTTCATTTCCTGCTTTATGTAGAATGAGTATGAGAGGCACACAGTGTCCCCTTGTAAGTTACTGAGCCGTGGCCGCCTCTGTACTTGCCTCCAATGCCTTCCTTTCCCTTCCTTTTCACCCAGCAAGAACCAGCTCAAATATCGTCTCTCAGGTTGAATTGCCACTTTGTAGACAGTTTTGTATGATCAGTGCCTCTTAGATCTTCCATCTTTAGAGAAAGCTAACGGCTCCCATCTCCAGACTCCCTCTGGTTTAAATATTTTTTTGTTTGTATTTCTCATGCCCACCAGACTGTGAGCCATTCAGAGAGTAGGATCGTGTTTTATTTATCGTTAACAACACCTAGCACAGGCTTTTAGCAGTAAATGATTGTTGAATGAATAAACTTGTAACACTCAAAATAAGTTAGGGCTGCTAGGACCGACCTACCTCCCTATAATGGGATAAAGGAAATTAAGACAGAAACCACTTGGCTGGAGAATATTGGGTGATTTTGTTGACCCTGCACCATGGAAGCAAAGTGAAGCTCTAGTCCAAACCTAATATAGCAAAACTCAGAGTTTAAAACTTCTCAAATCTCTTCTCATTCCTTCTCTTCTCAACACAGCATTTTAAAAGCCTGACAGATGGGTGGTAAAAAGCAGGGACAGTTTACTTGCGACTTTTTGCCCTGGCAAAAGGCAGTTTCTTTTGTGGCCTCCTCTCTCCTCTCCCCACACTGTGATGATCTCAGTCTTTGTTGTTCTCTGTAGACCTGTTAGAGTTTTTAACTACCCAAGCCCATTATAAAGAGCCGCTTCATCTCAACCCTGCTATCTGTGAGTGATGTAATATTGTCCAAGTCCCTTCCCTTCACTGTGCGTCAGTTTCCTCCGTTTTAAAAACAGAAATACTAGTATACCTTCCTTACTGGAGTAGCCTGGCACGTGGTAAGCAGTACGTGTATTGGTTCCTGCTGCTTGTGGGAATCTTGGTTTCCCAACCAGGGATCGGACTCGCACTGTTAGTAGTGAAAGCATGGAGCCAGGGAATTCCCCATGATGGTGATTATTATCATTATTCACTGTTTACCTGCACCTCAGGTCTTCTCTAGAAGTATACACGTTTAGCAGAGGTATTCTGACCCAAATCCCTGGAAAAAAAGTAAAAGACAGCATTATGTGGATTGCTGCTATTGTAAAACCATCTTCCTGTAAATGTCAGCAGTTTGCCTTAGAGTTCCTTCAATTAATAGCAGTTATCAGTACAATTATTAATATTATAACAAATAGTAAAACTAACATAAACAGTAAAACAGTATAACTCTGTGGCCAGTTTAAGGAACAGAGAAGCAAGAGACTACTGTGTTCAGTTTTTACTTGAATTGTGAATGAAAAAAACCTAACACATTCAGAATTGCTGTTAATTCTAACAACCTATGAGAGTCAGAATATTTCCCCTATTTTTCATAAAAACTTAGTCTTCCAAACATTTAGTAATTTGTCTTCAGATTCATAGCCTCCAAATGAGTGGAGCATGATTTAGTATAGGCGTTCTAACTCCTATTGCTGAGTTCTTTCTTATTTAGTCATATTACCTCTCTTTCAAAGAGAATGAAATTAAGGCAGAGAGAAAAGAGAATAAGGGAAATACAGACGGAGCCGTAACAAAGGAACACAAGGCCGTGTCTGCTGTAAGTGTCCCATGCTCCTCCATGAGCTTTGGGCCACTGTCTGATTTCCTGTCGTTTCAACCTGAGGGGTTCCCTTGGCATCCCTTGGAGGGCAGAGTTGCTAGCAACAGATTCCTTTAGTTTTTATCTAGGAAAGTCTTGATTACTCCTCCTTTCTTTCTAGATATAGAATTCTTACTTGACAGATTTTTGTTTTCTCTTATAGCATTTTAAACATGTTCTCTCACTGTCTTCTGGCCTCCATGATTTTTGTGAGAAATAAGCTGTTCGTCTTATTAAAAACGGCTTACACGTGAAGACTTGCTTTCCTCTTGCTGCTTCTGTTGACTTTGACTTTTGATAGTTTAACTATAACATGTCTTCAACATGAATCTCTTTGAGTTTCTCCTGTTTGGAGTTTGTTGGGCTTCTTGGATGTGTAGATTCATATCTTTTATCAAATTTGGAACATTTAAAATCTGCTGATTCTTTTTTCTATCTGCTTAGTTTTGTTAAACTCTGTAACAAATTTTTCATTTTAGTTGTACTTTGCAGCTCCAGAATTTCTATTTGGTGGCCTTTCATAATTTCTACCTCTTTATGATATTCTCATTTTGTTCATACATTGTTTTCCTAATTTCCTTTACTTCTTTGCTCATGGTTTACGCTAGGTCTTAGACCATAAGACAGTTGGTTTAAAGTCTTTGTTTAGTAAATTCAGTATCTAGGTGTCCTCAGGGACAATTTAATTCAATTTTTTTTCACTTTGTATACTTTCCTGTTTCTTTGTATTATTTGTGTTTTTGATGAAAATTGGATGTGCAAATATTATAATGTAGTACTTTGGAAATCAGATTCTCTGTCTTCCCCATAGTGTGCTGTTTGTGATTGTCAAAGGCTGTAGTTGTCCATGTGTTTAGTTCCAGATTATTTTTGCAAAAACTGTATTCCTTGTCATGTTTGGTCACTGAAGTCTCTGTTCCTTTAGCTTGTGTTCAACTATTGTTTTGACAGAGATTTCCTTGAACACCAGGAGCAAAGAACAGTCCCTCCTGAGCTTCAGCTGTATGCTAGCACCTTCAGCATTTAGCCAGCGCTGCACCGAGCCTGGTGGCGCAGTGGTAAAGAGTCTGCCTGCACTGCAGCAGCCACAGGAGACCCAGGTTCGATCCCTGGGTCGGGAAGATCCCCCGGTGGAGGAAATGGCAACCCACTCCAGTATTCTTGCCTGGGAAGTCCTATGGACAGAGAAGCCTGGCAGGCTAAAGTCCATGGGGTCACAGAGTTGAAGTGACTTAACACGCAAGCATGCACTGAGCCTACAGATCAGCCAGTGGCGAAGGCTTAGTGTCTTCTTGGGTATTTTCTGAGCATGCATCCTGTACTGGGTGTGTGCCTGGTTTCTGAATTCCCCAGCACACGGAGGTGCTTTTGAATGCCCTAATTTCCCAAGGAAATTCTCTTCATGGCGTTCCCTCCCAGATAGTAGGTGTTCTGTTGTATGTCTCACCCATCACCTTTTACCCCAGGCTTTTTGTCTGCCTCACGCTGTTTCTGAGCCATGCAGACTGCTTTTCTGCCCGGCGTGGGTCCTGAGCTTAGTAAAGTAGACGTGAGGGCTTGTTTCAGTCCTTCAGATACAGGATAGAACAGAC